TGGGAAAGCTAAGCCCCTTACAACCGAAAATGCTGCAGGTTCACAAGCAGTCAGAAGGATTACTTGTTGCTTTTCATCTGCCCCAATATCATTTGCCCAGAAAATATATCACATTCTCTCCACATACTAGGCCCAGTCTTTGCCAGCAGGATCAAATGAGTCAAGCTTCCCAAATAAAGGTATGATGCCAGAAATGCTTACCCCAAATCCAAGAGGACTGTTGCAACTGAATGTTCTTCAGGCACGTTCTGTTTTCTCCTGTTGCCACTGAAATAATTGCACAGAGGCCGGCATCCCATCACCGAGGTCCCCCCACCCCCCCACCCCCTTTCCCCCACCCCACGCATGCCCACCAAGTGTTCCTAACAGGTTGGGGCTCCCACAGGCAGCCTTGTCATTGACCAACTCCAGGATGATGGAGCAAGCTCCCCTCTGAGCCACTCACCATCCTGAGTTGGAAATATATCGCCCTCTCTTCACAGCCACTGGGACAAAGTCCTCAAACTGGCTTCCCAACAGCACTGTGGCTATCCCTAACTCCAAGGATTGCAAAGGTTCGAGAAGGAAACTCATTATCACATTCTGAATGCCAATTAAGGATTGGCAATAAGTGGTTGCCCAGCCTGAGTCACCCACATCCTATGAGTGAACAAAGAGATGGAAGGTGGACCTCAGAACCCATAAGACTGGGAAGGCTCCCGCCGGTAGATGAGAAACCTAAGACACTAAGATTCTGCCCTAGTAGCCATGTGGAAATAAACCCACTTGTTTTCTTTTCTCTTTTAAAAATATTTCACTCGAAAAGCTATCAACCTAAGGTTACAAACCAAACAGAGAGCTTGATTCAACTTTCAAAATCTCTTTCAAACCATACATTTCATGATGACAGATTATTATTCTAACAGATTAACTAGCTGCACAAAATGAATTTAATGACCTTCATCCCAGTCATAACAAACTGAGGAGCAGTGATTTGCTTTGGCATATACTGCAGAAGTCTGTCAGCGTTTTCAATAAAAGCTCCAGTAAGTGCAGAATTGTAACAAGGAGTAAAACAGGTTGTTTTGGAAAGATGGACTGAGCCTTGGAGTTTTTTTTTGGTTAAGTCTAAGTTTTGTCGATTTTTGGAGGTTTTTCACTGTGAGGGCTAGTGAGTTTACTCACCTTATCTTACCAAACTTACTGCATAATTATCAGCTATGCCTCTATGGTAACCCTCACGCCCAATTTCTACCTCATCTTACCATGCACTGTGCCAAGAGCAGCTTATTACTCAGTGGATACCTGCCAAAACATTGGTGTCTCTTGCATCTGCGCCATCTTTAAAAAGCCACACTGCACCCAGATGAGCACGGGCATCCCAAAGCTGCCTGATTCAGTGATGGACAGAATCTGACCATGGCAGACAAGGGGAAGATTTCACAATGCTTTTCTGACTGGGACCCGGATGTCCTGGTGGGGCAAAGGAGAGGATTCCTGATCATGGTGGACCAGCAGAGGAGGCCATGCCAGCCAGGCCTGAGATCTCCACCTGGATCACTGCCATCTCCTAGGTGCTGAGTGCAGAAACAAGGTCAATGACACCTCTCTGCTGTGCCAGGGTGAGTGCCACACTGCTTTCTGCTACCACATGCTTCTCTCCACCTCTGCTCCTATGCCCAGCTTCTGTTGAGGCTAATGTCCCACCACTCTCATTATTACCTGCAACATATTCCCTCAAACACTCCTGGTCCACATAAGTCTAACTAACTTGGCATGGACTCTGAACCCCCTCCTCAGTCCTTTGGAACACCTCACCTCCATTCCTTCACATGCACTAGGACTAATAGTTGTGCTAACCACTGTCATCTTGCTCAATTCCTCCTTTTCTTTCTCAGTCTTGGAGGCCATAACAGGGCCGAGAGACTGTGTATGGATGAGGTGGTGCTGACATTCATGTCTTCACTCTCTGAGAATCCTAGCTCTGGCAGGAGCAGACCAGGGTTAGTACTGTCAGGATGCCAAGATATCCATGTACCACCAAACTCTGCATGGCACTGCCATTTTCCCATCAAACCCATCAGCACTCTCAACTTTGCAACTCATGAGGAATCACTGGCCGTGATGCTCTCTCTCTTAGCTTCACTCTGCAGCTTCCAAAAGCCTCCTGATGATGGCTGTGGAAAAACAGTTAACAGCAGAGAAACCACCATCGTGGACTTCTGAGCACAACAGCACAGAGGTCTCAAATGAAGTATCAGCAAAGCTGCATCTCAAAACTCCCGTCAGCTCAGATCCTGACACCTCGGTGACAATGTTTGGTACAGAGAATGCAAGAGCACAAGCTGGTGAACTCCTCTCTGAGATGGCTCTGCAGCTGGCTAAGGAAGAAACATGCCAGGACATTGGCACTCGGAGACTGGTAGGAGACCAGGCATCAGGCAGAAAAGGTTCCCGTTGTGTTGGCTATTAGGTACTTCATCCAAAATGCACAGGGATTAGCAGTAACATAAGGCAGGCTATGGGATGCAATGACCCTCATTGGCCAGAAGCTGCAGCAATGTGTCAAATCCAGTGACTGCCTGTCTATTGGCAGGATCACGGCTCAGGGGTTGCTGCAAACGCACAGACACCTGCACTCCAGACACTTCCCCAAGGCCGAAGGCATGTTGTTAAGGGCTTTGGGGAACTGTGGCCCCAGTCCCAGAGACAGGGCATTGCCAGGAGACACCCAGCTAGACGTGGAAACACACACAGGCCCCTCAGTGCTTTCCACTCATGATGCTCCAGACATGGCCATTCCCTCCCTACATCCTGCACCCCTCACTCTGAAGGACATTAGTGAGCTAGATGGGTTTTTCCAATAATGGGCAACGGTTTCACGGTCATCAGTAGATTCTTAATTCCAGATTTTTCCTAGAATTCCTGCAGTGTAGAAGCAGGCCATTCAGCCCATCAAGTCTACACCAACCCTTCAAAGGGTATCCCACTGAGATCCAGCACACCCTACCCTATCCCCACAACCCATAATTAATCATGGTTAACCTACCTGGCCTATACATCCCTGGATACAAGGGGGCGATTCAGCATGGCCAATCCACTGAACCTGCACATCTGTGAACTTTGGGAGGAAACCCACGCAGACACAAGAAGAATGTGCAAGCTCCCCACAGTCACCCGAGGCTGGAATTGAACCCGGGTCCCTGGTGCAGTGAGGCAGCAGTGCTAACCGAGCCACTGTGCTGCTCTCCTGTATGGTGGAGGAGTGTATTTGGCTAGTGCCCATGAATTGTACCCTGAGATGTTGTTTTCCAGCGTCCAGCATGGAGGTGGTACAGAGCATGTGGAGAACTGAATCTGCCAGGTCTTTTTTTATTCATTAATGGAATGAGGGTGTTGCTGGCCAGGCAGCATTTATTGCCCATCCCTAATTGCCCAGAGGCAGTTCAGAGTCAACCACATTGCTGAGGTTCTGGAGTCACATGTAGGCCAGACCAGGTAAGGATGCCAGTTTCCTTCCCTAAGGGACATTAGTGATTCAGATGGGTTTTTCCCGACAATCAACATTGGATTCATGGTCATCTTTAGATTCTTATTTCCAGATTTTTTTTATTGAATTCAAATTCCACCATCTGCTGTGGTAGGATTTGAACCCAGGTCCCCAGAACATTATCTGGGTCTCTGGATTAACAGTCCAGCGATAATACCACCAGGCTATCACCTCCCCAAATGTTGGTTTCTTCAGGTATATGCCGTGGTTTTCTTGTTGAGTTTTCCCAACATCTGGCTTGTTTGGTGACTTTGGTAAGTTGGGAGTCTGAATATTAGTAATGCACATTTTTGCATTAACCAGGCAGTTAACAATCAATAATAACTGTCAATTGGCATCTTACCACTGCCCAGTGAGAATCTTGCCACTTTGCTTATGAAAAGCATAAAAGATGGAGTGAGATGATTTGTTGTCAAGATGGACCTTAATGCACTTATCACCCGAATCTGCCACACATCTCACTATAGTCCGTTTCACTCAGGCTCTTATAAGGTTCCACCCTATATCAACGTTCCTTCGCTGGTTCAAAATCATGGCACTTCCTCCCTAACAACACTGGGGTATACCTGCATCTAAAGGACTGAAGTGGTAGAAGATGGCAGCTCAGCACCACCTCCTGAAAGGCAATGGGGGATGAAAAATCAAATGTTGGCCTTGGTAGCAATGCTCACATCTCACAAAAGAATTGAAAAATCAAAGCAATTGCCAACTGAGCAACTAATCTGTCCGTAGTTTGTCTCTTTAAAAGCATTGGTGGAGGGTCCTTCCACTGTTAAATATGAGTTTAACTGTATGGATTCGTGTTCCAACCCTGAGCTGTTTCTAATCAGTGCCAGGCACAATCAGGGCAAAAAACAAGGCTGAAGACTTTGTAACTATTTTCAATGGATAAATCATTTTGGCCTCCTCCTGAACCCCCAAGCATCACACATAACTTGTGCTACAAAAGAAGCAGCTTCTGCAGCCTAGCTGTTCCAATACAGTTACAACATTCACCTGACAACCCAGAAAATTGCCCATATATGTCCCATCTACAAAGGGAAATGTGGCCAATTAATGCCCAATCAGTCCACTCTCAATCAGTCACAAACACCATTCACCAAACATTTCTCTGCTTGCCAATACTCACTTTGGGTTATGTCCAATCCCAATACAGTATCAAGGCTTAATCTTGCTGATTACTACTTTTCCTCAGAAGAACATAAGGACTTACTGGGATGACAAGTAATACAAACTTGGGACTTAACTTCTTAAGTTAACAAACAATTCCTTAAATTTTCCCAAAACCTAAAGGTTGATTTCTGTCCAGTTGAATTGATTTTATGGCTCAAATTTAGTCATGTATCTAACTATCTACCTAACCAATGATCACAAAGCTCCTTCCTGACTGCTGGTCTTCTTCAAAGGCCTTTGCTGTATATGAAATTGACTTTAATTTCGATAAAAGGTAATTTTAATTGTCACAACTTACCCTCTAACTACACCTGGATCCACAGTAGTGCCATTTCCACAGATAAAATACACATCCATCACCGTCCTTAAGAAAGAAAAACACATTTATACAATGCCTTTGACAACCTCAGGACATTCCAAAGTACTTTACAGCCAATGAGGTACTTTCTGATGTCATCACTGCAATAATATATCAAAACAGCAGCCAATTTACACACAGGAAATTCCCACTAACAGCAGTGAGATAACAACCAGATAATCTGTTTTGATGATGTTGATGTCAAACTTTAGTGTAAGGTCATATCCGAAAGATGATGGGTCCAACAATGCAGCATTCCCATGAGACTGTTGAGTGTAATGTTGAATTTTGTACTTAGTCTGTGTAGTAGGACATGAGTTTGAGTGTACTACCAACTGAGCCACAGTTTATAGCAGGCTGGAGTGAGGGGGATATTGCAAAATGGAAAGTGAAACATGATTCTAAGCACATGGGACACATTCACACGGCCAACAGTTGGATAATTTGTTGAAGAAGGGTCAAGACCCAAAACGTCAGCTTTCCTGTTCCTCTGATACTGCTTGACCTGCTGTGTTCATCCAGCTCTACACCTTCTTACCTCAGATTCTCCAGCATCGGCAGTTCCCACTATCTCTAGATAATTTGTTGCCTCTTTGACTACCAAACTACCTGCTTTAATTTTACTTGACAGAATTTTTTTGGTCATATTACTGGTGGTGGTTACTTGATGAAACCTACCACAGGTAATAGATATAAGAAAAAATCTGATCCTAAGGGTCTTGTGGCTCAGTGGTACTGTTTGTATCTCTGGGCCAGAGATCCAGGTTCAAGTCCCACCTGCCTCACGCATTGTAAGATGTCTAAGCAGGTTGATCACTAGACCTAGTCATGAGGTCCTTGTGGTGCAATGGTAGTTTCCATACCTCTGGGCCAGAAGGCCTTGGTTCAAATCCTACCTGCTGCAGAGGTGTGTAATAACATCTCTGAACAGGTTGATCAGGGAGAATATCCAGATCTGGTCATGTTCAAACATAAGTATCAGAAATCATGTGTAAATTTTTTTTGAAAATTATGCCTTTAACACAGGAAACATTTTTACAGTATTTTTAATTGAATTACATCACTCATGCAAAACTTCAATAGTGAGAAAGTTACATGGATTAAGAAGTACTTTTCAATTAATTGTTTTTGCCTGGGGTATTTTTACCTGCTCCCTAGTTATTGCCTAAACCCATACAATTGTGAAAGATAGTAATGTGTTGCCCCCCCACATGCCATGGTATTTCACCAGCACTGGAGAGGGTGAAAGACAGTCCTCCCACCCAGATGCCAATTGAGTTATTCGAGCTGCCAATTAGGGATATCCACCCACCTTGTAATCTCATTGCAGGCAGGAATCTTCCAAATCTGTGATCCACGAAGAATCCCCATGGACACATTCACTCTGCCCTTATCAACCCACCCTTCCCATCCCAAGCAAACACTTCACTACACACCCACCTCCAGAAACCCACATCATAATTAGATATGGGAAGGCAGCTTGCTCCATTGATGTCTTCTCCACTGGGTGTAGATATGGAATGTAGTGTAGTGGAATACTCCCCACTTGCCTGGATGAGTACAGCCCCAACAACACTCAAGAAGCTTGACACCATCCAGTACAAAGCAGCCCGCTTGATTGGCCCTACATCCACAAGCATCCACTCCTTCCGCCACCGACACTCAGTAGCAGCAGTGTGTACTATCTACAAGATGCACTGCAGAAATTCACCAAAGGTCCTCAGACAGCACCTTCCAAACCCATGACCACTTTCATCTAGAAGGACAAGGACATCAGACATAGGGAACACCACCACCTGCAAGTTCCCCTCCAAGCCACTCACCATCCTGACTTGGAAATATATCGGTGTTACTTCACTGTCGCTGGGTCAAAATCCTGGAATTCCCTCCCGAATAGCATTGTGGGTCAACCCACAGCAGGAGGACTGCAGCAGTTCAAGTGGGCAGCTCACCACCTTCTCAAGGGCAACTAGGAATGGGCAAGAAATGCTGGCCAGCCAACGATGCCCACATCCCACAAATAAATAAAAAAAGTCACCACAATGGCTGTTCTTGAAGGCGGACTCTCATCCTTTAAAGACATCAAAGCTCCAACAACAACTAACTAGTTCCTAAATGTTTGAAAGATGTGGCCATGGGTCCCTCAAGCAGCCAAGACAGAGTTGCTCCAGCTTGTGGGTCTCTCTCTCTCTCTGTATACCCACAAAATACTGGCTGTGTGTCCAGACAGCCCACATCATGAGAGAATATAACTAATAAGTGACCTTCGGGTACACCCGTGTATTTTCTGTCCCATTTTATATTAAAAGTGGAAATGACATTTATTTTACATTAAAGTCAAACTTCCTCTCCTGGCACTGGCTAAATACAATATATGCAGTACATCAGTACTGTGTGGGCCACTCAGCTTGAATTAGCTGTTAAATGAAGTGCAAATACCGCCAGCACATTCCAGACAAACACGGAGGATGAGGAGGGGGAACTATGGCTTTGTGCCACCATCCAAAGAGTGGAGAATATGTCAGTATGGGAGGAATAATCGTGCATTACAGAAATGTTACTGCGTTTTGAATACTGTGAAGATTGATAATGGCACTATTGATTTGAAATATTGGAAAACTATGTTTTGAAATTAGAATCTTCTCTGTGTAGATGACAAGCTATTGTGGCAGGCAACTTATGACGTTATGTTTGGCAGGGACTTAGTACAATACATGCTTCTCCTCTGACGTCAATCACAAGGGGCTCCTCTCCTTCACCTCTAGTACTGGACATCTCTACCATAAGCTGTCCAAGTACAGTCTAGATATTAGCAATAGGTCAAGTCATGATGGTGCAAGAAGTGGGGAATGGAACAATAAGTCATCCACAAATTACCATCCAAGAATTGGTTACTACCAGAATCACACAGGTTAGGACATCATTGAATCCTGGTACCAACATTAATCAGGATAGGCTCAAAGAATCTGCCATTGGTTATTGCTGTGATCAAAACTCTACTGGTCCTGATGATATTCCCATGACTAATGGGGAGGCATGCGAAATTTGTTACTTTTTCTAATAAGGGGCTGGCAGACCTAAGTTCGCTGTTTCAATGCCTGCTCAAAGGAGTTCCCACCTTCCTTGGGGCAGCACGGTGGCTCAGTGGTTAGCACTGCTGCCTCACAGGGACCTGGGTTCATTTCCACCCTTGGGGGACTGTCTACGTGGAGTTTGCACATTCTCCCTGTGTCTGGGTGCTCCAGTTTCCTCCCACAGTCCAAAGATGTGCAAGCAAGGTGGATTGGCCATGTTAGATTGCCCATAGTGTTCAGGGATGTGTAGATTCGGTGGGTTATAGGTCTGGGTGGGATGCTCCGAGGGTCGGTGTGGACTTGTTGGGCCGAAGGGCCTGTTTCCACACTGTAGGGATCCTATGATGATGACGAATAAACAAACCTTCCAAAAACATTGCAGAATTGGTTTCGAGCACCATTTTCAGTGAAGTTTATGAATGCTTTTGTTTCTTTTGTTCTAATGTAAAATTAGAGTCTGTGCTACAAGAGGTCAACAATTTGACTTTTATAAAAAGATCAGCTTTTTCTAATGACACCTATAAACAGAAGGAAACATTGTGAAACTAGGAATGTATAATGTGGTTTATAGCAATCCACCATTGACACAGGTCAACAATGTTGCCACATCCCAGAGGGTCACAGGACTACAGCTGGTGGTGGTTTAACCTGAGGGTCACCAAGCCTCAGTCAAGGGTCAGGTTTGAAAAAAAATGGGACCTTCATGGTGACCCCAGCAAGCACAGGAAGTGAACCCACATTGTCACTCTGTGTCACAAACCAGGCTCCAGCCAACTGAGCTAAGCAAACTCCCTTACAGGTGAATAGGATGACAGGAAATATTCATTTCTGACCCGTACACCTCAGTGCACCCAGAGTCATTTCCTTCTTTGCTTTTCAAAAGCTGAATCCAAAGAAAAATGATTGGAAGGAACTATAATGTGCTTGGGACTCTTCCTCTATTGTACTTAATGTGTCATCACCTTCATGCCAATGTATCAGGCTAATAGATCTCCACCAAATTCTTCACACCTTATGTAAGATAGTAACAGAGTAAGAGGACTGGAATATGGTGCTGAGCAGTAGGTGGAGGATGAGGTCTTGTGATGCAATGGCAACCATGTACAACACTATGCTAAACCAAAGCCCTTCTCTTTATTTGATGAGGCACAAAGCAGGCATAGAGGCAGAGAGTGAGGCAGAGGGAAAACCATTGCTTGTGATTCTGAAGATGGCCATACGAAAGATGGGAACACCAGACAAGAAGGGTTGTTTCCCTTGGTTATTTTTAATATGTTGTATAATGCCTGAGTTGGTGGGTGGTTCAGTACTGAATGTTGGTGCATTTTGTATTTCGGAGCTGTACAGGGATGACACTAGTTTCTATGTATGTAATTGTTTTTATTTACAGGCCTCTTGGTACTGACAAAATATCTGCACTCATGCTTAAAACTCGAGCTTCCAGTCATTCTTTGGAAGTTTACATTTTCTTGAGCATGCACTCAGGCCTAACCAATCAAACACAGAGAGCATCAATTGTAAACAGACTCTTACAATCAAAGACACATCAACTATACCATAGCGCACGAGACTGAGCAAAGTTGCCAGTGCTCAATACTGACAGCATTTTGCAACAAGAACATAAACAATAATGGGGCATGAGGTGGGGGTGGGGGAGCCTTTTCATTGAAAACGTTAAAAAGTTAAGAAAAAAACTTCCTTGACAATACTTGTTGTGCAGTGGGCGGTGTCCCTGACTCTGGGCCAGAAGCTCTGGGTTCAATGCCCATTCCAGAACTTGATGACAAAGGCAGATATTTTCATGGTGTAGCCAAACAGGGCAGGCAGTAAAGAGTGTTAGTGATCTGCATCTGATGGAGAAAACTGCCACCTCTGTCCCATCTAGGGTGGATACAGGACAAGCCTGCATGCCCTGCTTGTGGTGATGTAGGTTGAATCAGCCTTTGGACAAAGAACTGAAGGAGGAGAAGGTAATACCTGTGTGTTCCTGGAGACATCAGGAACAAAATGGCAGCCCTGGGATCACCAATGCAGGTTTTTAATCAGGGAATGATGTGATCCTGATTCTGTTCCTAGTGTTCTTGGGAATAATCTGTGACAAAGACCTTTGACTTTAATTGAAGTATTGTTTACAGTACTGTTTCATATTCAAGTCAGCTCCAGAAATGTCATGGAAGAAATTTACACAATATTTTTAGGAAGAAAGTTGAAGCAACAGCAGTTTGTACTTTATACAAGATGCACTGCAGAAATTCACCAAAGCTCCTTAAACAGCACCTTCCAAACTCAAGACCACTTCCACCTAAAAGGACAAGGGCAGCAGCTACATGGGAACACCACTACTATCTGCAAGTTCCCTTCCAAGCCACTCACCATCCTGACTTAGAGATATATTACCATTCCTTCACTGTCACAGGGTCAAAACCCTGGAATTCCCTTCCTAATGACATTGTAGCTGTAGCTGGAGTGCAGCGGTTCTGGGAGTTTCCACACCACCAACCTTTCAAGGGCCATTGGGAATGAGGAACAAGTGCTGGCCCAGCCAGTGACACCCACATCCCACGAGTCAATGACATGGAAAGGATCACCTTATATTGGAACAGTGCATGGCTCCCATTTTTCAGGAGCTAGACCAAGAAATGTCAATCTTATTATTTCAGTATTGCCCTCCACATTTATGCATTCCCCAATTCTAAGGCTTTCTTGCTGACATGCATTAATGTAATATTTGTCAGTATGTGGGTACTGTTTCAAATATTGTCTGTCAAACACGATAAATGTTTAAATGCTACACATTTTGAATTAATTCTGAACTGTGTGCAGAACATTGACTTACTTTGATGGATATTCTACAGAAATTGGCAGGAGTAGCCCTGAGGAAATTCCTGGCCCCAAAGTTGAAATATTCCCATAAAATGTAAATACCTAACTTGATCATGCCAATATCGCTAAGAAACAGGTATATCCAAAATTCAAAGATATCTAGACTGGGTCTGACTTTTTATGAAAAGTTTCTCAAATTAAATTGATGTAGACCTTTCTTACTTAAAGGAGGAAAGAAAAAATTCTTGATGTCTTTTAGAAACTTTTCTTTACAATCTACCTACCCTTTCAAGCTCATGTTTTTGATGGCTGGTGAGATTTTCGAAACAATAACAGTGTTTTCAGGTTCAACAGCTTCTAAAACACTGCAATGGAACAAACATTGTTTAGAACTACTGGCGAAATATAATCTAGTGCAATAACGAGTTGTACTTTTCTAATTTTATAACCAAAATAAATTATCCCCAACATAAATAATCTATTCACCAGACAGATGGAGAATTACATTTATCAACTGCAAAAAGAATTAAATACACTGAAATAGACATTCATAGAATCACAGAGTCCCTATGAAAGTTCTCCATCTCAATGAAAGTTCAGTCATATTATGGTTTTCTCCAAGGGATCCTGCACAACAAATTTGGTAATTAATCCTTTCTCATTGACAGTACCCCGTGTGGAATATTATGTTCTCTGGTTCATTCCTCAACATATTTGTCTAAAGAAAAACAACGGCCCACAAACCAGTCAGTTACTTGTGCCAAATAAATATCCATTTGTACACAAACTTTCAGCTCCTGTTCGTCTGTATCTAAGGGGAGGTGATGGCCTAGTGGTATTATCTCTGGACTGTTAATCCAGAAACCCAGATAATGTTCTGAGGACCTGGGTTCAAATCCTGCCACAGCAGATGAATTCAATAATTATCTAGATTTAAGAATCTAATGATGACCATGAATCCATTGCTGACTGTCGGGAAAAACCCATCTGGTTCCCTAATGTTGGAAACACACACTCTGATACTGTATTGGGTGAGTTCCCTGCTCTTTAAAACAGTTGAATCACCAAACACACCTCCATTTAACATCTCATATGGGAGGCAGTATTTCCAAAATAAAAGCAACAGTCTTGCACAGAATATAGACTAAAATCCAGGGAAAAAAATTGTATAAACGTTTCACTGCCTTCAAGGACAACAGTGTCTTCCCATATTTCACACGAGCATCCTAGAAAATTTTATAAGCCTGTTAGATCAATTCCTTCAATATTTGGTTTCCACAAGGGGCAAAATAAAAACCATGAAACGTAGACATGATATAGTCATGATTGTGGGAATGCTCAATATACTATACCCATTCCACGAATCTCAACTCTCCTGCTGGCATACAAGCTGCAACCAATAAATCAGTGCTCTTCCTCAAAAGTTATTAAACAATTTTAGCATATAGTTCTGATAACTGTAGTGACATAAATTGTTTGATATATAGATATTTATATGTCATTTCCTTTTAACACTCATGATTTTAAGTTTGGGGTTTGAATTTTGAGTTAGTAACATTTTTCTGTGTGTCTGGAGGTAATAATTAACTGGCAAGATTTTTTGTGACCATGGTGATTTCTTTTACAACAGTTTCTGAGAGCTTCTTTGATAACCTAAAAGGTTTTTAGTCTTTTATGACTTAGAAGGTAGACAATTGTGCTTCAAGATTTATGTTAGAAATTTCTAGACTCAGGATTTCTCTTCAAATTTAGGGGAAACATTCATAGATCAAAGGGAAAGATTCTTCTTTCACTTTTACATAATTTGGGGCATTTCTGTGAAGTATTTACATGAACATGCATGTATACAGCAGAGCTTCTGAGAAAGGGCGAATATAGTAACAGTAGATTATAGTAAGGAATTAGTGATGGCGCCAAAGAAGAAGTGTTGGGACAAAACCCTGAAGAGATTACTTGAAGTTGCATATATTTAGGTGTAGAATGGCTCCAAGAATAAAAAAACAGAGGCTCCAGTCAATATGTTTAAGTTAAAGTTACTTAAATGTGCAGATATGTTAAAGAACATAATTTTGCTGTGAATACTGTATAAGGTTTGTTGCTAATAGTGTATAAGGGATTTTTAAAAAAATTTCTAAAGTGTGTTTTATGATTATACCCTTACTGTGTGTTTAAAACTCTCTGAATTTGTATTATGAGTAAATAGATTGCTGTATTCTATTTTATCTTCATTTGTTTTCCTTAATAAACTTCTGTTTTATTGTTAGAATGAAATCTTACATGCTTCTACCCAGGAAGACACCTCCTCATTATAACATAACAAAAATAAATGATTTGTCAAGCCGTATTTCAGACTGTGATCTGACTTGTCCAATAATAATTTCAACTGGGATCATAACACTGTGGCCTACCTCAGTATCTTTTTCTCATTAAGAAGCACACTTCCTGGCGGACTGTCAAAAATTAGTTGTAGCTTACTGTTCCCATCAACGACAAAGACCTGAAGCAAAAATATTTGATGAGCTATACATGGTAATTGTACATTGCACTAATTTTTATCTGACCAAAATGTACGGGTATAATAATAAGTATCTTTAGGGTACCATTAAAGTGCAGGAAATTAGATATGTTCCTGTAAAATAAAGGCTAATACAGAATAAGCCTTTACACTAATCATACTAAAATTTTTATTCAAAAGTTTTCTAAAACTTAAGTTCCACATTGGAGTCTTGTTCTAATGCTATTATTTTGGAACTGAATGGAAAATTAAGGACAAAAGTTTTTGGATGGTAGCATTTCCTGCTACAGCACCCAAAGAGTCAGTGGGAACACAACCACACAAGTACGATGAGGTGCATTAATTGACTGAAGGTGGGACTTCTGACCCTCGCTCAAGAGGAAGTCCCTCCTTAGGGAACTGCTGGACAATTTGATTGGCTACTACCTCTGTAGTCCAAGCAGCCAGGGCAGTTAGAACTGGGACTATAAGAAGTCTTCAGATGTTAATTTGCAGAATATAGGATCAGTGAGCAGTCCATTCCCAAGGCAGGTGTGGAGTCGAGGCCCGGGAAGTGTTGTTTGGTGGCGGGGGGAGGGTGGGGTTTGGTGGGAGAAACATAGGGTTCTTGATGGAGAGGTCAAAAGTGACTCAGATCTTGGAGGGAGCGGGGTATTGGATGTGGAAAGGAGACTCTAGTGAGAGGCAACATCTTCCTGCCTGAGAACTCGGCAACGCGACCTGGCGGATTTCCTTCCTGCTCACTTCAAAATTGAAGTAGGACAGGAAATGGCCCCAAAGCATTATTCGGTCATTTAAGGGCCTCAATCAGAATAAGGGGCATGCAGGCTGGCGCAGGCCTCAAATGTCCCTCTGTCAAGTTACAGTCAGCTGGGGTGGGCACATGGAAGAGCAGTTGGAAGCCTACCTGGGTGATTTTACAGTTCCCCTATTCCACAGCCTGTAATCTTGCCAGTGAGCACATAACATCCTTTCCTAAATATTTATGAATAGAAATAGGGTAATAGAGTTTGTGCTATAAACAGCACAACCTCTTTTTACCTATTTCTGCAACAACTGTTTTGGAGCTTTTACCCACTCCAATCAAGGATTAGAAGGAGATATGGCTTGGGGTAATATCCCTAAGGACTGAAGGCCCTGGTGCAGCTAACCTTGTAGCAAGCAGAATGAGACCTGGGTCTACTGGCCTTACAGTCAATGTAGAGGCCAACTCAGTCATTGGAAAACAACCATAACTTCCTGCAATAATTTAGCTTTCCTACAATGGAGAACAAGGGATCACCTCCAACATCTTTCTGAATAAGGCCACAGTACTTTCTGGTCAAGATTCCTGGACTCCTTGGGCGTGTTGATAATGTACAATGAGTAAATTCCCACTGAGGCCCTGGATGCATTTCAAAATGCGGATTAGAATATCAAAGCTGGGATACTGTAAAACCAGAAAGCAAGCTAAGTCAGAAAGCAGGGTGAGGGGTGAAAGGGACTTGATGCAGGTTGCAGAGTTTTGGATGGACTCATGCTTACAGAAGGTGAAAGATGGAAGGCTGACCAGGAGAGCACTGGGGACAGCCGAGTCTTGGTATAATAAATGCATGACTGACCGTTTCAGCATCTGTGGAGAGAAATCAGAGTTAATGTTTCAGGTCCGGTGACCCTTTATCAGAACTGAGGTTCAGAACTGGGTTCTGAGGGTCACCGGACTCGAAACATTAACTCCAATTTGTCTTCACAGATGTTGCCAGACCTGCTGAGCTTTCCCAGCAACTTCTGTTTTTGTTTCTGATTGATAGTGTCTGCAGTTCTTTCGGTTTTTATTAAGTGCCAAGGCAGGCTGGTTCAAGGCCCAATACAGTTCATTAGGTCTTTGCGCCAGTGTTTTATTAAATATTAGGCTCTCTATGACTCACCCCTCACACCCCATCCACTTCCCATTCCCATATACGCCCAATCATGCCAACCCATGCTCCCACACATGCCAAATAGACCCTCATCCCTTCATGTTAATCAATGCCTCTCCAGAGGGAAGATAATGGTGTAGTGGTATGATCACTGGACTATTAATCCAGAGACCTAGGTAATGTTCTGGGGACATGGGTTTGAATCCCTCCACATATCTGGAATTAAGAGTCTAATGATGAGCATGAATCAATTGTCCATTATTGGGAAAAACCTATCTGGTTTACTAATGTCCTTTAGGGAAACTGCCATCCTTACCTGGTCTGGCCTATGTGTGACTCTAGACCCACAGCAATGTGATTGACTTTTTAACTGCCCTGGCAGGAATGGGCAATAAATGCTGGCCTAAGCAGTGATAGCCTCATCCCATGAATGAATAATAAATAAAATCACCCTCATGTCCCCTATAGCCTGCATTCTAATTTAGAGCCTACTCATCCATGCCACCCTGTTAACATTCTCTGTCCTTACCCACAACATGTCAAATCACACAATATATTTTGGAAGCCATGCTGCGGTGAATAATGTTCCGAGTATCTACTACAGACCTTACTATAATTAAAAAAAAACTCATTCATGAAAACCCACTCAATACATTTGAATTCCCTTATGTACTTAATCCCTTGAAAATTAATTCTTGGTATTCATAATTCCACACCAATGTCAGCTAATCATTTAATAATCTCTTGGAACTATAAATCAAATTGTGAATATACATCTCCTATTGTTCTGGAAGCTGTCATGTTGTAATAACACAACGTTAGCACTTAGATTGCAGAATTGAGCAGAGAAAAGGCAGATGGAATTTAAAGAATAATTATCAAATCCCTACAGTGTGGAAATAGGCCCTTTGGCCCAACACATCCACACCAACCCTAACAGCATTCCACCCAGACCCATACCCCATAACACAATTAATCTACGCATCCCTGAACACTATGGGTAATTTAGCATGGCCAATCCACCTAGCCTGCATATCTTTGGACTGTGGGAGGAAACCGGAGCACCCAGAGGGAACCACGCAGACACAGGGAGATTGTGAAAACTCCACACAGTCGCCCAAGGTGGAATTGAACCCAGGTCCCTGGTGCTGTGCTAACCACTGAGCCACCATGCTGCCCCCAAGTCTGGACAAATGTGAGGTGATGCATTTTGGAAGATCAAATTCAGGTATGAATTATACAATAAATAGCAGAACCCTTCAGAGCATTGACATACAGAGGGATCTGGGCGTACAGGCCCACAGATCCCTGAAAGACACAACACAGGCAGATAAGGTGGTCAAGAAGGCATACAACATGCTTGCCTTCATTGGCTAGGGCATCAAATATAAATGTTGGCAAGTTATCTTACAGCTGTATAAAACTTTAGTTAGGCCACATTTGGAATTTTGTGTGTAGTTCTGGTTGCCACACTACCAGAAGAACATGGATGCTTTAGAGAGGGTACAGAGAAGGATTACCAGGATGTTGCCTGGTCTGCAGGGTTTTAGTTATGATGAGAGGTTGGATAAACTTGGATTGTTTTCACTGGAAAGGCAAAGGCTGAAGGACGACCTGGTAGAAGTCTACAAAATTATGAGAGGCGTATATAGGGTGGATAGTCAGAGGCTTTGTTCCAGGGTGGAAAGGTCAACTACAAGAGGGCACAGGTTCAAAGTGAGAGGGGAAAAGTTTAGAGGTGAAGTGTGGGGAAATTTTTTCACACAGATGTTGGTGGGTGCCTGGAACTCAATGTCAGTGGAGGTGGTGGAAACAGGGATGTTAGCAATGTTTAAGGCATATCTTGATAGACACATGAATAGGAGGTGAACTGAGGCATAGAAACCATGTACAAGCAGTAAGTAGACAGACAGTGCAGGCTTGGTGGGCGGAAGGGCCTGTTCCTGTGCTATATTGTTCTTTGTTCTTAGGGTTCTGTCAACAAATAGTTATTAAAACTGCAAGTGCCAATATTTTTCAACCACCAGATATATACAGGTGTAGTGACTGGAACAAGGTCAGCCAGGTGGACTTCACACAATGAGTTCCCTGATTGGGGCTGTTAATCTGGTCCAATCAGTGAGCCCTGGCTGATAGATATAAACTGGAGTGTCAGAGGTTCTGCTCACTCTAGGAACCCAACTCTGAGTGAGCTGGAACTGTGTCATGTACTATTCAGATGTAAATAAAGGGTAACTGATTGACAGGATACCGGGCTTTGCAGAGCTATTTCAACGGGCTTTTCATTTCAATTTTTAAAGGGCTGAATGTTTAAATAACTGGACAGCTTAACAGTTTCACATGCCTTACCATTCTTTAAAGCACTTATGACTACTCTAACAATTTGTAACTGCAGGATATGGCCTTTGGTCCAACAAAAATGAGATCTGTTGGAACTCAGCACTGTGTTCAAATGGACCTACTAAGTTTGTGTTCTTCCACTTGTGTGAGTTTTTTTCTGCTTCTGTTTCCCTATCAACAAAAAAAAAATGCCTTTCGGAAATGAAGGTGGGATCTCTGGTTCCAGAACTACAATGCCATTTTGAATAAGCTGAGGCGTCCATACGGCTTAAGTGTCAGACAAGCAGTCTGTGACATACCAGAGACAGGGTGCTGGCATGGTAATGAATTGGAGTTAAGCGCTCTCAATGAATCTGTGGGATCTCATGTCTTTGGGTTGTATCATTGAGGAACAACAAATAAATATGAAATAGGAAGGAGCAAGGATGCATGAAATGTGTTCTCAGTTACATGGACAACGTCCTGAATGTTTCAAAGTCTGCACTTTTTGAGGTGATGGGGATAGGGAGAAGTTCTCAAGATCATTAATGTCGAGATGCTGTGGCTGTAGATTTTGGCAAAGACAGCATTGAAAATGTAAGAAGGAATGTCAAGCTGTAGAAATCTTGGTGAACAGACTTGCAATACCATCAGCCAAAAAAAAATCACCAAAGAAATTTACCCTATCATTATCACCGCACATCATATGCTTTCAATTCCAGAATTCAAAGACAAAGATTGCCAGTGAAATACAGACTTACTTCTAATAGGCGATGAACAGTGTTGTTGGGTAATCCTCCATCAGTGGCAGCAACTTTTACCTTCCAGCCTCCCTTCAGTGTAAAGTCCAAATGATTTCTTATTCTTGAGATTAAAAGAAAGACACAAACAGTTGCTAAGACTGGAAGGCCACTATTCTGCCTCCTGGATGTATGGTCCACCAGAGTGGCAGCTACTGGACACCAGCAATTGGGAAAAAGATGCATATGCTCAGCTAAAGAAGATCAGACAAAGTACATTTAAGAAGGACATTCAAGAGTGCAACCTGGGTTGGAGGGAAGGGTATTGCAATGGACCAAGGCTAATGGCAGAGTCTTGCTGCCTATAGGTCCACAGAGTCTAAATATGTGTTATGATGGTCAGATACACTCGATCTATTATTCCAGATACTGTGTTTTCTTTCTGACTTCTTGCACATCCAACTAGATCTCTTTGCTCCACCATCAGTGGCCAATTCTCCAGCTGGCATTGGGCATTGAGCTCGGGAGTTCCCTTCCCTAAACTCTTCTTGACTCTACCTCTTCGTGAATTTCCTTAAAAACCAAGGACCAAAAATTCCTGAGAGTGGGGTGGGGGGTTGTTGGTGGGGGAGTGATTTTGAATGGCAATCCCTGGAAAAAAAAGCCCACAGCCAGCTGACTGGCCCAGAACGGGCTGTGGGCAGGTACAATTCCAACCCTCAATGGGTGGAAATCCTCCCATTTCGAGCTGCCAGTCAATCTGATCAGCCGTCAGCTCCTGCAGTCTGGCCTGTGCCAGGGCTCCTCAGTGGATACTGCCTGGAGGTACAGACAGTCACACAGAGGAGAGCCAATGGATCCTGGTCTGAAGGAGTTTAGTGGGTAACTTTGGATCAGGCTTTTTATAGCACTTCAGGAGGTTGAGAATGAGTTGGCAGTAGGCGTATCAGTTTTGTAGCCAGGAAGGAAGTGGGTATAACTTCTCTGGGGGGGTGGTGTGGTTGTTGCTGATGGGTAAAGGGCACTATACTGAAGATAGCATCCTTTATTTCCCACTGATCTTACCTTTTCAAAAAAATACACCCACTCCTGCCAGCCTACCCATACCAATCATTTTACCACATAGGCAGTGTGTTGTTGGGGTCAATTGAGCTTTTAATTATTCATTTACATTTACTGGGTGGGATGTCATTTTTAGCACGTGTCCACTCTCTATGATGGGGGTGAGTGGAAAGTTGATAGGCTAGCTACCTGAACAATATTACATTCCCACCCAAACTACCAAAACCACAGAAGTGCACAATAATATCCAGCCTCAAGTCTTTGATGGCCCGTCCTAATGGTTTCTCATGTGGAACAGTATTAAATATTCTTTGGTGGCTCTCTTGTGAATTGTCTTGGCATGCTGTATAGTGGAGGGTCATAAATGCAAGCAGTAAACAAAGACAAATTTCTTTCAGCAGAAAAAGTGTTAAGAATGTGGAATTTGCTATGACAGGATGAAATTGAGACTCTCCAGTGGTCAGCTTCTGCAGAAACGCAATTTTGTCAGCAGTAAGGGATAAAACAGACCAATCATTTGCACATAATCGATGCTATCCCGAATGCTAAATGTTTTCAAGATTTACAGTTTAAAACAGAATCTCAGTGGCAGATTTCCAATATTTAAGGTTACAATAAAAATTAATTGTAGATTATTGAAAAGTGGTAATATAAATTATTTTTATTTACTTTAATAGAAATTTGATGTAGTTAGGAAGGAAAGGAAACAGGTAGATTGACTAAAAGTCTGAGATGATGCAATTGGAATGGCTAGTTGGGCCAAGTGACCAGCTTCTGTGCTGCATGTAATTTTATGCAAAGGTGCTATATAAATGCAATAATTTGCCATAGTTGTGCTTATTGAGATAATGGTTCATAACAAATCATTGTCACCATCCTTGAGCTCATTCAACCTACAGTTTTCAGGGTAAGATTGTGTGTACTTAATTGTTCAATGATGGATCATTGGAAATGCTGCCCTTTTTGTTGTTAATCTTTCTCTGTTGCTTTGCAAATATTAGTATTTAAATTGTTCGACAGGTAATGAACAAATTTCTGACAATTATTTTCTACTGTGGGTTCCAGGCAGCAGTGAGGTTTTTTTGAAAAGTTTTTCCTGTACACTGCAAGAAATAACCACTGACATTTTAGTTTAATCCAGCAGCACAATGTAGCACTGTATGCTGTCAGTGTAGGAGCAATCATTCCATAGACATATAGCATAAAAAGGCCATCCGGCCCATTAAGTCTGCTCAATTTTTGTGCTTGAATGGAATTTCTTCGTCTGATTTTCTAACTTAAATGAATGGCTGACACAATTAAAAGAGAGAACCAAGGCATTTCTTACAAACTAATTAAGTCCCCATTGTAACTCAGGACAAGAGGGTTACACAAGGTGCCAGCCATTTTTGCCCTTCTTTAAATAGCCTGCATGTCCACATCTTACTTCAATGTTCACCCAGCTCTCGCTGACATTCTCGAAAGTTGCAGCCAAGAAACTGTGGGCACAAATCCCTGGCAAAATGAGAGAAAGAGGCTGCAATGTGAAAGCAGTCAGGGGAGGCCCAGATTCCTTGGGCAATTTGTAGGAGCACTCCTCCTACTACCCTACTCCCCCTCTCCAAAAGAGGCTAACGCAGGAATAAAAAACAATGCAGCAAACGAAATGTTTCACACTTCTGCTGTTATGATTTGCCAATTTCCCTGGTGGGGTCAGCATTGGTTGCCCACACCACTGCTGGCCCTGATATTTTGACGCTGGCTGCAAGGGAGGTCAAAATGGCTGTGAATTCAATATTTTGGGGGTTGCAGCTCCCACATTCAAGTCTCCAACCACAATCCTGCTGATGCTCTCTTCCCCATGCTTGGGACAGGGGCTTTATTGGGCTGGGCAATGTGTTAAACCTCTACCTTTGAATCTGAATGAGGTTACTGAAAGCGCATCTGTTAAATTAGCAGGGACGTATGTGCAGCACATGCCACTGGTGAGGACCATGTTACAGGCATTTGAACCCACCTGCCTGCCATTCTCCATGGGGACTGGGTGAGGGGGAAGTAAGAGGGGCTAAAACCCAGGTCAGACATGTTTGGATGCCAATATCACGGATTGTGATTTCTCCCGTCAATTAGTTTTATGCCCCCTCATCGATAATGCCAAAAGTCCGAGTGCGGTGTTACTTACCGTAGACTGCCCCGCCAGAAGTGTTTGCTGTTTAAAAAGGTTTGAATATAAAAAGACTCTGCCACTGTTTTGTTTGTTGGTGGTGCATCCGCTGCAGAGAAAATGACTTCCACAATGGAGAATGTAATGATGCCATTTTTCCCGACATCATAGTCAGTGGCCTAAATATACACATTGAAATGTTAGAATTGTCAAAATACTTGTGCATCTGATTGACATCTATATGTGTAATTTACAGCAGTGAAGCTTTGCTATGTGGAGAGGGACAAATCAGACATTCAAGTCCAATACATCTGTATGTACGTGCTAAAACGTTTGGATGCACATAACTGGGACAAAGGGAAACGTGCAGGCAGCAGTGACTCATATAATTAATCATCTACAAGTGGTATTTACTTTTATTAAAAACATAAATCTATATTGCTCACTTCCAAAGCCACGATCTGATTTCTGTTTGAATAATGAAACTTGATAGGTGCACATTACATGAAATACTAACAAACCCATAAATTTACTCTGAGGTGGATCAAATGGAGCCAATGGGCCAATTTTGTTTTGGCTATAGGATCTCAATAAGAAATTGTTAAATTGGGTCCAACTGCTAAATTGTTAAAACAAAATATAAGGAACAGAATTTCCCTTCAGCATGGGTCCGAGTCCCATTGGCCACTTCCTCTCTTTTAGAAGATGACTTGTGAGAAGAGGGTTTTCATCAATGGAGGGTCTTAAAGGTTGGATCTTTTCAGGGTGCTGTGTTCCCCACAACCCCAGTCCAAAGACCAGGGGGATCCTACTCCACAATTCCACAGCTACTCCTTTAAGACTGGGACTAGTATTAATTGTTTCAAAATGAGGCTTCTACCTCTAAATCGAGTGGAATGGATCCCACTTCAGAAGTGGTGGCCACTGCTGGGACTAAATGCAGCCCCCAGTGCTGAGGAACTCAGGTACTTCTGGTGTCAGGGGTCTTGTCAACGACCAAGAGATCAAGAGACCAAGCGACCAAGGAGAATGCTTTTCTTTAAACTTAATTCATGTGGGCATCACTGGCTGGGCTAGCATTTACTACCCATTCCTAATTGCTCTTAACAAGTTGGTGATGAGCTGCCTCCTTGAACCTGGAGATGTGGAAAGGGGGCATGCATCTCCTCACCTGAAACTATCTAATCTGACAAAGCTCCCCTTCTGACCCCAGCCTTCACTGGTAAAATTAAACAGCTTATTATAAGATTCGCTGTTTTTGATATGATATCTGAATAGAAGCTTATTTATTTCTTTAAGTGATTATCCACTTGAAGAGATTTAAAAACTATGATTAGGCCTAATGGGCAGGAGTTTTTTTTTCAAGGTGTATGTACAAGCGAGAGATGTCTACAATCATTAGAAATGTATTTCTATCAATTTCATGCAGTTCCTGAGGTCTGCCCATGGTGGTTACTGTGTGAGTGGTCTTGGACTTGGCAAGGAGGATATAAGGGGTATCAGGTGTTGATGAATTGGTATGCAAGGTATGAAAACCCATAAAGAGTGTATGGGATCGGATATGTGAGGGCGATGATTTGAGAGTCTAACAAACCTCAAAACAACTGTTATTACGTCCTACAGAAGTGGGAGAAACAGTCCTGGCTCATATTTCCCACCCTGGGGAAGTGAGGATGAAATTCAATGCACAGTGCATTTGTCCAATCCCATGACTGTCTAGAGTCTATCCCACAGCCCACTCACTCCTATCCTGTTGAAATAGAAATCTCATGTTTCAAGTCACTTTCTACCAAGTTGGGTCTGGAAATTTCCTAACCTGAGTTATCCACACTCATTGCCAAAATCCAGCCCCTCAGCTCAAGCAAAATTTGCAAAGCTAATGAAAGTAGAAACATCTTACCTCAAACACTGCAACCTCTAAACCATCAATGATAAATTCAGATAGAACAACTGTAGAGAAACCAGAATCAGGTATTAAATTATTTTTGATAAATTAGTACTTTTATTTTTAGCAATAGTTTGATTAAATTATTTTAAAGAAGTGCAGGTGTAGATATAAATCACTCAGCCTGCAGTCAAGAGACAGGTGATGATTAATACATTTTTAAAGTAATTGATACATTCACTTTAACAAATTAGAATTTCCTTCAGTGGGACTAGTGCCCTAATGGGATGAACTATAACTGGAAAATCAGAAGACCTGTGAAAATTTGCATAATTGAATATCAAGCACGTTAATAATGACCAAGTGAATTATATATTTTCAGTTTCATATTATTAATCCTTCTTAAATTGATAAAATTCTTTAAAGAAATATTATATTAAAATCCTGTTGCAGTTCCTTAAATATTGTCTGGGTGCTAATAATTTACAGACACTACAGATGTATAAAGACAGTCATTTGTGGAAATAATTCACTTAAATTACAGCCGGCAGCAAATTAAGACAAGCTAGTTCTTGTTATATGGATCTATTAGCCCAATGAGCTTCTTCGTGTATTACGATACATGCTAACAAATACAAGTGAATCTGACATTGTACGTTACTGATAATGAAGGCACAAGATGGTGTCCAGAAAGAGACAAAAAGCCAACAGTTTCTGCCAATTGGGTCTGAACAAATAACGTTTTTGCCAAATAGCAATGAGTCTTTCGTGGGAACAGCAGTGTTGTTATCAACACCCAAAGAAGGTGCTTGTACAGAGACAATAAGGAACACTTTGAATGCACAAGCTTCATTTAAATGCAGGAGGTTATTAGAAAAGAATCAATGACCTGAATAAAAATCCTTTTTACAAAAAAGAAATCCGAAGCAATGCTGAAAGATCACCTAGAAAAGTTTAACTTAAAACATTCAGCAGAAAAAAAAGCCTCATATATCCTGCATATCACCAGAGCCATTTAACTATTTCTTACTTTCCAATTAAGCACCTAACATATTCTCTTGTGTTTTCCTTTTTTTTTCCCATTGCCCTGATCCTTTCAACTATAATTTCTTCCAGTTTTGTGAAAGGGTCTACAAACTCATCTGTCCTCTCCACAAATGCTGACTGCATCACTGAGTGTTTCCAGCACTTTGTGCTTTTGTTTCTCATTCTCTGATGTCTGGCCTTTTCCTTGCAATCTATCAGCATTGTGAAAACAGTTTAGAAAGCTCTGAACACAAATGAAGCGTACGCAAAATGCCAAGAAACTGTCCACTGCACATGGAAATGATCCAGTACAGAGTAGCCCTTAGCAGCACTTCACCAGATTTTGCAAATTACTTCCAATGCAGCTGTGTGTTTTCAGTTCCACTGCACGTTCAGCCAAGATTGACATTCTGCACAATGACAGGGAAACAGGTCAACCACAAGAGGGAGAAGCCATTCTTCATTCTCTCTCTTTCTACAATATACTACAATGTTGAAGAGGAGATACTTCTCGACTGAAGGAGGCACTGTGTAATGTTCACGGCAGAAAGCAATTTGTGAGCAAGGAGATGGACAAGATTATGGTATGTTCATATAGTATTGCACAGTCAAAGATATAGTTGGCAGAATAGGTGGGCTTTTTGAACAATTTTACACCAAGCTGATAAATAACCAGTAAAGTCCCCCTTCATCCCCAGGGTATAATTAACTATCGAGAGCTCTGTCCGCTGCAGGCCTGAAATGGTTAATAGTGGGCAAGACAGGGTGGAGCAACGGGCTCAAGTGTGAGCAGGGTTAAGTCTTGGTTAAATGCGAATTCACTTGTTACTCTTCCAACCTGAGTTATATCAGGACCTATATCCCAAAATCTGCCAAACTGTTGCTACAATATTTAGAAACACAATTAAGGTGCAGTGCACTTTAATTTCGCTTATCCACCCACCTACCTTTCCACAGCGTGAAATAGGAGTCAAGGTGTCTCAAATCTGCTCCAAGGGCATAGGGGTCACTTTTTGGGACTTCTACACAGGCAACCCTCTAATTGGCATGTAACACTCTTCCCAACAACACTGTGCGTGTACCTGCATCAAATGGATTGCAGCCGTTCAAGAAGATGGTCATCAACACATTCTCAAGGGCAATTAAGAATGGGCAACTACTGCTAGCCTGAGTAACAATGTTTACATTCCATGATGGAATCAAAAAATAACATTGTTTGAGTTCATCCCTTGACACATCCTCACTGTCCTATACTGGCTTCTGGTCTGGCTATGTCTCAAAATGTAACTCCTTGGTAGAATCTTATAACGATCTGAGTGACATTGGCTTTGGCGACATTTGTGGCAGAATCATGTGAGAAATCTGGTGAGGCCGAATTTGATGTTGGGAGTAACTAGCTGCATCATTTACACTTTTGCTGGATGGTGAGGCAAGTTTTTCACAAGGCAGCGTTGAGTTGCTAGTTAAAGGAGAGTACGTTTTGTTAAATGCCTTATTAATGGCCCACTTCACCACATTAATATTCAGCGTCCTATCTTAGCAAAGACAGCAAACAAGCTAGACGTCAAGAATTCTTAACGTGGGCATCAAAGCGAGTACCTGGTGACTTCAGATCCCTTCTGGCTGCAAGCAGCCTCAGTGATGTTCAGCACCAATCAATATCTCAGTCACTATCCATGGCCATCAATTGCACGCACCCTTCATCCACAGACATTGGCATCAACTTCTGCCAACCCCTCGTGAACATCCTGGCACTTCTGCAATCTTCTAGCCAAACAGAATTCACTATCGTCTTCCAATGTGCTGGAAATCAATAGTGTACAAGGCAAACAGAAATGGTTGGAACCACATCCTGAGTGGATGGGGTAAATGTCTTGTCCTGTGGGATAGGGGGCTGCAGGACCCATGCTGAGAGCCTTTCTAGGAAACAGCATTGCATACAGACCATGCACTGTACAGGATACTGATCTACGGGGATGCCAATCCTTGGCCATTCTAATGCATTGGCTCCTTGGGTGACCATTTCATTTACATCAACATTTTTAGACACAGAGGTGATGGAAAGAATAGGGATGTTGTAGGACAGGGGACAATGGTGTCAACAGAAACCATTGCTCTATTTGTGCTTCCACATGCTGCAGCTGGCTCTCCACACAGATATCAAACCATGACATTAGGGACATGCTGGCACACTTACATTTGGGCTGACACAGACACTGAAACAAACAGCTGTAGAGATTTCATCTACAGTGCAGTGTAGCCCATGCCACCAAATGCCCTCAATGCGTTCTCTACTTTCTCTTTCCCACTACATCTCAGTGTAGTCCCTGGTTCCACAGCTAGGAGGGTGGAGGGAGGGAGACTACTTGGCAGTAGAGATGGTTGACCTTTTGGTCAGGTGGCCAATGAGGGTATTTGTGTCTGGACTGCCTAGATGTGCTGAGGTTCTCTTTGTCAGAGGCAAGTGAACCCTCCTCGACTTCAACTTCCAAGGGTCAGAGAGAGAGAAGCAAGCAGGATGCAGGAGGAAGATCCGGCCACCTTGAGTGGCCTGAGTGTGGTTCCACCTCCAGCTGTGTGGATCCTGGCACTGTCCTGTCTCTTTGTGAGGAAGGGGCACTTGGAGTTCTCACCAACTGTTGCTCTGCCTTTGGTCCTGGGGACAAACAGAGTGATGGGGTAATGGACTGCAGGTATTTGCACCACTCCAGCAGACCCTAAGGGCACTGGACCTGGCTCTCCATGGCAGTGCCATCACGTCCATGAGATTCTCACCAGATTAACACTGCCACTGAGGTGTCAGTATCTCAGCTGGGTGAGCAGTACAGTAGGCAGCCTTGTTGTACTTCCATTAAGGCCTCAGTAACCTCATCCTCTGCTGGTCCTTTGAGAAGAGGACATTTCTCCTTCACACCATATCATCCATTAGGACCTCCAGGCCACTGTCAGAGATTGACCTTCTCCAACATATTCAGATTCTATCCATCAATGAGCAGGCAGTTCCAGAATGGCAGTACTTGTCCGGGCACACAGCATCCTGGTAAGGATGAAAGCGTTCTTATCTCTGGGCAGACAGCCACTCAGTAGTGCATTACTTCAGGAGCAATGCCTTATAAGGCGGGAGTAGACTTAGATGACGGATACCATTGGAATGGAGCAAACAGCAAATAATATTCACACCACACAAGGAAAAGAGCATCTCCAACTAGAGAGAATTTAACAATCGCCCCTTGACAATCAATGACATTACCATCACTGAATCCTCCACTATCGCCATCCTGGGAGTTACTTTTAACCAGAGGCTGTACTGGGCTCGTCAAAAAAATACTGTGGCTATGAGAGCAGGTCAGGTGCTAGGAATCTTGCAGTGAGTCTGATGCCCAAAGTCTGTCCACTATCTAGAAAGCACAAGTCAGGAATATGATGTAATACTCCCCACAGTACTCCCCACTTGCATGGATAAGTCCAACAACACCCAAGAAGCTTGACACCATCCAGGACAAAGCAACTCATTTGATTATCACCACATCCACAAACATCCATTCCTTCCACCACTGATGCTCAGTAGCAGCAGTGTGTACTATCCACAAGATGCACTGTAGAAATTCACCAAAGATCCTTAGACAGCACCTTCCAAACTCATGAACACTTTCATTTAGAAGGACAAGGGCAGCAGATACATGGAAACACCACCACCTGCAAGATACTGCACCCCACCCCCCACAACCCCGAGCTCTGGGACTTTTAGAATCTATGGATTGCTGTAATCCCAGTCCTGGCCAGTGCTGGATTGCTGTTACTGGGTCTGCAGAGCTATCTGCCAATCTGATTGGCCTGAGAGCTCCCAGGACGGAGGTCAGCCCCCAAGGTAAGGGGTGAGAACCACACCTCCAACTAATGAATGCACTTTGCTGTGTTCAGTAGCTTTGGGGCTTCTGAAGTTGCCAGGGAATCATTCCATTGACTCTATGGCTGAAAAGAATCTGCCACTTGAAAAATCCTACCCTATGTTTATGTAACTTGCACAAGCTAGTGTGCA